CCACACTTATTCAATCTATGTTGTTGTGTGCCATCGAGTCAGAACTTACTCATAGCTGACTCTTCTATAGGCTTTTAGAGGCAATTAATCACACAGGAGGAGATTGCCTGTCCTTCTCCCATGGAGCAACTAGGAGATTTGAGCTGTGTGCCTTTGAGATTGCTATGCAGCTTCTTACCACTAGGCCACAAGTGTTCCCTATCCAATCTATATGATGAGCAAATAATTTGAGAAGCTGTACTATATAAAGAAGAATGGATGGCATCAGGATTGGAGGAAGACTCATCAAGAACCTGTATTATTCAGATATACAACCTTGCTCGTTAAAAGTGAGGTGGACTTGAAGCATTTACTGAAGAGGATCAAAGACTACAGCCTACGATATGAATTATGTCTCAAAATCAAGAATTCAAAATTCTTCACCACTGGACCAATAGACAACATTGTCATAGGAGGAGAAGAGATTGAAGTTGCCAATTATTTTATCTTACTTGGATCCCTAGCTAACACAATAGTAGCAGCTGTTAAGAAACGAAAAGATATGTTGCATTGGAAAAATCTGCTATCGAGGACTTCTGCAAAGTGCTAAAGAGCAAAGCTGTGAATTTAAAGACTAAGCTGTTCTTGATCCAGGCCATGGTCCTTTCATTTGCTTCCTGTGCATTTGAAAGTTGGAGAATGAATAAGGATTATAGAAGAATCGGTGCCTTTGAGTACTGGTGTTGGTGAAGAGTACTGAATATAGCAGGGATGGCCAAAAGAACAAACAAAACTGTCTTGAAATTAATGAAACCAGAGTACTCCTTAGACAAGGATTGTGAAACTTATTCTCACATACTTCAAGGATGTTGCCAGAAAGGATCAGCCGAGGGAAAAAGATCTCGTTTGCAAAGATAGAGGGTCAGAGAAAGAGAGAAAAACTCCCAAAAAGATGAGTTGACACAATGACTGTAACAGTCCACTCAAGTGTGTCAGATGTGGTGAGATGGCATAGGTTAGGGCAAGGTTCAGATTGTTGTTCACAGGGTGACTAAGAGTTATGGGCAACTTGATGGCACCTAACAACAATAACATGGCAAAGTCCGGTGGCTAGTGGATAAATTGTACTGCCAACTTGAAGGAAGGCAGTCCAAACCCAACTGTTGTTCTGAGGGGAAAAAATGGGCAATCTCTTCCCTTACATTTTACCATCTCTGAAAACCCAGTTCCACCTCAATCCTACTTAACAATAATAACATGAGCTGTTGGTTCAAGGTCAGTTTGACACTGACCGCCTGCTACAAGGCAGGTCACATACCTTACTGATATTTTTCCTTCTGAAGAACCACAGACTGGCTTTGGAGTCTGACACTTAAATGGTTAGAGTCAATATGGTTTTTAAAAGCATCGATAGATGATATCCATAATGCTCTTGGAGCTCAGAAAGAAGGACCTAATTGGAAGTAATAGAAATCATGATGGCTCCAGGAAGATCTCTTAAGCAGATGATAATGGAGTGGTATCTTAAATCATGAGTGGGAACATGGGAGTGGAACTGAGCAGAGAAACAGGAGAAGAGGAGATAGTAAGGATATTCAAGGCAGATGGACCTGGTCAGGAACAGCATCAAGTGCTTCTAGTGCTGAAGGGCAAGCTGTCAGGGAGTGAACAACGTGGAGTAAAGCTGGCAGTGGAGTCAGATTATGGAGTACGTCGTTCACCGTATTTGAACGTGTGCCATAGGTACATTGAGAGGCAGAAAAATTGGTGGCAAGAATAGCCGGAAGTGGTGGCAATTTAACTGAGGTGGGAAATGAGAAAATAGACAAGTCCTGAGCCTGGGCAGTCTGGTACTTATAAAGGAGAGATGAATTTGGGAAATATTAGGAAGTCAAATGCAACAGATTTAGTGATATGTAGGCATTGTTATGTGCTGCTTAGTCAGAACAACTCATAACTGACCCTCCAGCAGGTTTTCAGAGGCTGTGATTCACAAAGAAGGAGATTGTCCACCTTTCTGCCACAGAACAGTGGGTGGATTTGGACAGCATGCCTTTGGGTTGGCCATCCAGATCTTTACCATAGTACTCAGAGCTTTCTTGCTTGGATGATGAGGCTATTCGGAGAAAAGTGAACTAAAGATTTAAAAAAAGATTGCCATTGAATTAGAATTAATGGCTGACCCTCCTTTGAATTTCCAAGGCTGGAAATTGCACGGGAGGATATTGTCTATCTTTCTCCCTAAGTGTCACTAGTGAATTAAAGCAGAGAGGTGTCACTCTTAGGTAAGCAATGCAGCTCCCTGTGTAGTAGGCCACCAGAGCTCACTGGGAAAATGAAGAGAAGGAATAAAAAGTGCATCATATTCTTGCTATGGGGAATAACACTGCTATACAGTAGTGTGTAAGTCTCCATTTGTGCCTCTGTTCTCTTTACTCAGAGAATATTCCAAGCAGTCGATTAGCTGGGTCACAATGGAATAGATTGAGAAATGATGGTACATTCACACAATGGAAACTATGCAGCACACAGGAGCAATGATTTTGCAAATTATTACCTAACTTGGGAGGGACTGGAGAGCACTCTTCTAAGTGACCTAACTTAGTCTTCTAAAGACAAATACTGCATAAGACCATTATTGTAGAATGAGTATGAGGATCCAAGGGGGGGGTGGCTTAATCATAGTATCACACAATTTGATAGGTGGAGGGAGGGGTGAGTATAGGAAAGGGGAAAGATACGGTGTGAAAAAGAATGTATATGAACTTTGTAAGTAAACCAGTATAAAATAATTTTTTTTATTTAAAATATTTTGACCTCTCCTGTCTTGTTACTATTGTCAAACAAATAAACAACAAAAAGTTACTTGTTATTTAAAAAAATAGTAAATCATATTAGAGGAGAGAGGGCATATAAAGCAAATATCCCTTGTGCATCTCTCCTACTCCCCAAAGAGAAAAATAATTCTAGAAAGACCATCTAGTGGTAAATAATGGTTCAGAGTTCTCTATGCCTGTCTCTTATCTACCCATTAACAACAACAGAAATGAGAACAAGAACCCTCATAGCATAATGGTTAAGCCTTTGGCTGCCAAGCTAAAAAGTCAGACATTGGAACCCACCAGCTGCTCTGTGGGAGAAAGGTGTAGCAATCTGTTTCTTGAGTGCAGGTTACTCAATAAACAAAGGAAGAGCAGGTTTATACTTGTGCTTACTTAATAATCTATAGTGAATAATTTCACATCTCTGATGAAAAAGGTGTAAATGTTTCCACTACAGATATGTAAATAAGTACAAGTAGTCTTGCGCTTACCTCACATACTGATAATCTGAACTCGCTGCTTCTGTAAGTAAGTGGGAGAGATGCTTTCTATCTAAGGAGGTTGTGGGTTCGAGTCCACCCGGAGGTGTCTCAGAAGAAAGGCTAGTGATTTACTTCCTAATAAATCAGCCAGTGGAAAGCCGGTGGAGACTCAATTTGCTTTTACACATACAGAGTCGACATGAGTCAGTGGAGCCTGTGACTAACACTTTTTTTTGGCTTTGTGCCGGCCTCTGGTCCTTCAAAGGCAGAGATCAGGAGAGAAGCATTTTCTTCTCCTCAAGTCATACTTCAGGGCCTTCCCTCCTGGTCCCCAGCATCTGATCCAGCACAGTCCTGGGTATAGAGGCAGGTGGTAGGGAGAAGACACTTGAAGTATGAGAACAGTTCAGTTCAAGTAAAATAAAAACTGAATCATATTCAATTCCAGACTAGCGTCAAGTTTCAGGTCTTAAAAATCCCCCCGCCCCCCTTTCCCCAGATGTCTGTCTTGCCCTACTTCTAGAGGTCCCTGGACATCCTCAGGTGGGCCTCTGGACTCTTCTGCAGCACCAACTTCTTTGCCTTCATCCTCCAGCACCTCCCAGAGGCCTGTGCATTTTCCCTGAGTCTATCCCAAGTCCAAGTGGTCTTCTCCAGCACCTCTCTTCTCAGGGCTATTTTGTACTCTTGCATCCTAATTCTCATGGCCATCTCCTGCCACCATCTTCATACAGGAAAACCATCAGCAGTTTTTGGCAGTTTCACATAGACTTTATTTTTAGACTTTTCTAGAAAACCCTGCTGATTATTTTTCAGTGTTCCAAGCATGAAACTAAAAATCCCCAAAACAAAACAAAACAAACCCCAAGCCCATTGCCAACAAGCCAATTCTGACTCATGGTAATCCTATTGGACAGCGGGAAACTGCCTTGCAGAGTTCTGGCTTAACAGCATAGAGTTTGTTGTTGTTGTTTACCCAAATAGGAATGAGCTGAGTTTTCTGAAACAGTTTTAATGAGAACAAAACAAGGACATAAATTTTCTCCCAACACTTTATTATAGCCAAATATTTTTATTACAAAAGTTGACCTCAGAATTAGATTTGCCATAACAATTTTTATTAAATTGACTTTGTAAATATTCAACCTGGTTTGGGTTTCTCCCCTAGACAAGTCATTCACTGCTAAGTGACACAGAGGAAAAAAAATCTTATATCCACAAACAGAAGAACTCAGAATTTCCAATTACCATCTTATCACATCCAGGACTTCCTTAGGCCAAACAAATAACCCAATTATTTCACCTTTTTCTAAAGAGGCAAGACATATAAATAGATATATAAATAACTCATATAAATATTTACTTTTTAAATAATAAAATTCACAAGTCTGGAATCTTTAAAAACAAAACAGGGTAAGGCAATGTGTAAAAGGAAATTGCCTGTGTCAAAGTTCCCTGAAGACATATTAAATACATAAATAACTTAAAGCTCTTGGAATAACAAGAAGTAAAAATCATATTCAGTCTAAAGTTTGGACTAGACTGAGAAGGAGAGAAATCAGGTCCTATCTCTGAACAAAGTGTTAGCTCCATGAACTTGCTTAGAGAGGTTGGTGAGTGGTGAGAAATGGGACTGGGACATTGAGCGTGCCTGAGCTGAGTCTGACTCCTAGAAAGTCAGATTGCTCTAGCCCAAAATTCTTCTGGCCCCTAGCTCTCAGCCTATGCGTCGGACGACGGGGGTGACGCAAGTGCAGCCCACAGTCACCAACATCTTCTCCAGTTGGAAGGAGCCGGGACAGCCTCCATTCTCCCTTCTCAGGACAAGGATCTCCTGCTGGATGGGGACGGAGTTCATGTGGTGGTTAACCTTCCCATTAGCATCAATACAGCCCAAGTGGCGGCAGTTTGCCTCCCAAATTATAGAGGGATATCTCTCAGCATCCTCGTTGCGGCTGTAGGGGAGACAAAAGTCGGGAGGAAAAGTTAAGTTCCTGGCAAAACAGGAAGGGGCTCAAACAGGAACAGAAGGGAGGCAAGGTCACATTACAGATCCAACACATTCCATAGCCTCCAAATGCTTTTACTATAAAGAAGTTTGGGGGAAAGTTGGATCTTCAAGCACATAGCATAATTGAAAAGAAGACAAATGTCAGTGTTTACTCAGTTTCTTTGAGAAATGGATGAAATCTGAAGGCTGCAAATACAGAAGGGTTTTATCTGGACACAAAGGGATCATTTCCTTATGATACGGCTGATAGATGAAAGACCAAGGCTGGAGTTGATCTGGGATTATCTAGAAATAAGACCGTTGTTGAACTGGCTCGATGAAGCCTGTCTTAGAAGTAGGAAATGGATCATGACTTTATCTAAGGGTACTTTCATAGGCTGGCACGCAGAACTGATATGAGGTCTGGAAACTTAACCACAAAGCCCTGGACAGCCTTCACATCCGCTTCTCCTCTAGCTGAGTAAGTGATTTTCTTTTCCCTTTGAATGTATTTATTGGAATTCTTCTGAATGAGAAAAGAAGAAGTCCTACAGTCAGATGACTATGCAGGCTCCACATAACTGTCAAATGATCAAGATGCCTTTGGCATTTAAAATTTATTTGGGTCTAAATTCTAGATGTAGCAAGGACGTGACCAGGATGTGTGTGTTGGGGATGTAAATCAAGATGTAACTCCAAAAAAGGATTGATATTACAAATGATTCTTCTTCCTCTGAGTTTAGGCTTTGCTCTCCCTGTATATCATGATTTGGGGTGAAAAAGTGCAAAACCACCAATTAATCACTATTTATTTTCAGCAAGTACTTTTACTAGTAGCACTGGTAACGAATATTTAAGCCTTAATTTTCTATGTTAAATTCCTAATTCTTCCCCCCGCCCCAGAGTAAACAATAGATTTGTGGTTTTTTTAATGAGAACAATGACTTTCATTAATTTGGTTAGAATTTGGTTGGAATCAGTATCAGGGACAATGAGATCCAAGAGGACAAGTGATGTGTGGAGAGGGTCCTTTGCTCTATCAAACTAATCTACAGAATGAGAAATCTGAGATCTATTCTGTGCAATCACCCTTCAATGTCTAATGATTTTGAGTGAGTAATTCTCAAGGTGATTTAACTTTGCATTAGGATGTTGAAGAATAAAGAGATACGTACTGGAGATTCCAAGGGGAGGTGGACCGGTTGTGGTAATCAAAGGACCTCCTGGAGTTTGTGTTCCGGTTAATGATGTTAAGTTTGACGCTCACAGTCTGTGGGAAATTCTTGTCCTCAACATTTGGGCATCTTGGGTTCTCTGGGGCTGTTGTAACTCCTGCCATCGCCACAGCCACCAGACTCAGCAGCAAGAGCAGTGACCAGGACTAAAAGGGAAAGAGGTGAGAGGTGGGAGGTAGGATTAACATGTGAATTTTGATAACAAATTGTTAGGGTGATTTTCTTTCTAATCATAGGGGAATATACTTTGTTCCAGGGCAATCTATACTGACATGTCAGGTCTGTTAAAGAAATAACTGGTTATGAGGCCAAAATAATTTAAGATTATGGAATTTTTACCAGTTGTCAATGTTCTTCTTTTGATTTAGGAAAGATACATTCTGCATTCCAGACCAGACCTGTTACTATCAAGTTGGCTCTGATTTAGAGCAAACCTTTAAGTTTGGGTATAATTACTGCCTAGGGTTGGAAGAATCTAATTGTTATTGAAGCAGACTGCCACATCTTCCTTCAACACAGTGGCTCATGGGTTCAAGCCATTCACCTTTTGATTAGATTCAAGTGCTTAAATATTGCACCACCAGAGCTTCTTACATTATACCCAGGGTGGTAGTAGTTGGAGTAAAAATGACAAGTAATGCCACCTCATCCACCTGTCAGCACAAATGCCATTCCTTTTCCAGGTCAATGGGAGAATATCGTCTGGATTTTCTTGGAGTCCATGTCCTCTGGCACCACTGTTCTTGGCCCTAGCATACTGCCAAACCCTATCTGAAGTCTAACATGCACCTTGAAAGAAAGGGCTATGAAACAGTTACATCTGATCATTATTTATGGTGGAGATACCATTGATAAATATCCAACAACAATGTTTATTGATCACACAACAAAATCAGATATTAAAAAAATGCTTTAAGCAAAATATTTTGAAAATGTGCTATTTACTCTAAAGTGCAGTTTATATATGCAGGAGTCGCATCCACTTCCTAAATAACATGCCTCCGGAAACTCTATGAACTTTGATAAATATTGATAATTGTAGAGGGGCTTCAGGCCTTTTGTTCTTATGGTTGCTATGAGTCATGCTCAACTCGAAGACAATCAACAACAACAACATATATATCTATATATAATGTTGTGTATATACATATCTACACCTAATAGAATAAGTTGCTTTAATGCCCAGGCTTATTTCATAGGAGAATGAAAAGAAAGCTTTTTGTCACAGTTAAATTGGCAAGACTCATTGTATGGATTAAAAGCAATACCACAGGAGAATTGTAGTAAATGCTTTGTACTCTAGAAAATGGACTTTCAGTAAGCACTCTGTTTCACTGTACAGCATCACATGACACTTATGTGGCTTAGCCCCGATATCGCTATCTTTCAGTTTTAATCTTGTCTTGCAAAGTTATACATATCGCTACTTGAAAATGCTATGTATTTTACCAAAGCAACCCTTTCCTATCCCAGATATACAATATTCTTAGGTCTTTCAGAGTTGTAATTCACAATCTCACATCAACAGGCTATGATACAAATCAACAAACACATTACATGTTAGTTCAGAACTTACCACAGACGAGATCGTCATAGAAGACATTGTAGCTTCTTCTGATTGATTAGAGATGGAGAAGATTTTTGTTTCTGCTGTGAGATGTATAGAATGTGACATTACCTTCTCTCTTTTTATAGTACTTTGCTTCTTTTGTGGTCCCTTACGTGGTGTTAGCGTGGGTTTGGTGATGACCTTGTTTCAGTTAAAAGTTCCATTCTTAAATGAGGTCAAATAACTTCCCTTTCATGTTGATTATATTGTCGAGTACAACTTTAGACTTGATGTGTGCTGCCAGGTTGGAACCGACTCATCGCCGACCCTCCAGCGGATATTCAGAGACAGTAAATTAGAAGTTTGCCCATCCTTCTCCCAAGGATTTGATGGATTCAAACTGCATGCTTTCAGGATTGCAGCACAGCTTCTTTCCACTAGGCCACCAGAACTTCTTCGTTGTTCATGAAACATTAACTCTTACCCTAATCCTAACTCTTAACTACTTTGGACTAGTAACTTATAATGTACCCTACCATGTTGAGAGACCCAAGACGGGTGGCAGCTCCATGAAGGTAATGTGATTTTTATGTGCCATTGAGTTGACTACAACTATAAGGAACTCTATGAACAATGACTCTGAACTTTGTCCTGTCCTGGGCCACCTTCACCATTTCTGACACACCTGACTCCTGCATTGCCACAGTCAATGGGTCAATCCATCTCACCTGGAGTTTTCCTCTCCCTTTCCAAACATTATGTCCTTCTCCAAGGACTTGTACCTCCTGGCAACATGCCCAAAGAATGTGAGATAGAGCTTCAAAAGCCTTGCCTCCAAATGGCAAGCTGGTTTTATCCTCTCCAGCATAGGGCAGTCCATGGTACATTTAGTGCTCTTCAGCACCACAACTTGAAGGCAATGATTCTTTTTCTGTCATTCTTATTCATTGGCCAGCTCTCAGATAACAACTGAGAAGACCATGACCTGGATCAGGCATATTTTAGTTTCTAGACTGAATCGTTTCTCTTTAGTGCTCTGGAGAGATCTGTAACAGATTTTACCAATGCAACTTGTTTTTTATTTCCTGAGTGCTAGTGCCAAGTGTGTTGATTATGGATCCAAGCAAGATGAAATTGTTACCAACCTCAGTCATTTATCCATCTATCATGTTACTGATTGCCTATTGAGGCAATGCCAGGGACATGTTTTGGTCTCCTTTTTCTCCTCTGAGGGAGGCAAGGGGTTTTGATATTTTTGTTGAACAATGGATTAACTAGATTTCAAAGACCACTCTAGTAAGTACTACATAACTCACATCACTTTGTGATAGAAGTGAAATAGCAACAAGCAAGGATACAGCCTCCTAAGAGCCTGCTCCTCTATAATTGGAGATATCTGATCGTGAAGGAAAATGGGAAAGGCAGAAATGAATATTTCAAGGACTATGTCTGTGTTCATTGTTGTTGATTGCCATTGAGTCGAGCATGATCCTAAGAACAAAAGAAGCCTTTCTATAACTATTGTCATTTCTCAAAGTTTGTAGTTTGCAGAGGCATGTTGTTTAGTTACTTACTGAAAGCTGAGACTTAGCTATGCCATGGGCTGGTAGCATTTATTTATAGGTGGATATGAATTTTAATTGCTCACAGGGAAATAAAAGTTCAACCTAACATATATGTCTTGTTGACAAGTATCTTGATTTCTCACTGGATAGATTCTTTCCTTACTAGATCTTTTGGCTAGATGTCATGAGGATAATTCCAGAAAATACTCTAGATCCTTCTATATAAGCAAACAAATAAAAACATAATTGAATGATGATAGTCTATATTATATGTAATGGAATTTAACAGCTATTTGCTTGAACATCTGCTTGAAAACCTTATGACTACATTGGAAAGATGTGATATTTATTTATGTGATATGTCTAGTATAGCACATTGCCAAGCAAGTTGTTAAGATTTTGTGTTTTGATACTCAGTCTTATGCAGTTCTTCAGACGTATGTGGTGAAAGGGGAGAGAGGAGATGGAGGTAGAGAGCACGAAAAAGTAATTAAAAACAGAGATAGGTCCATGAGGAAAAGTGATGGAGGTGGAGAAAGTGGAGGGCAAAGAAAGGGGAGTCTGTGAGAACAAGAAAAAAGTGGAGAGAGGAGGGGGCCCAGAAGTAAAGAGAGAAGAAAACTGTGTTCTCTCTCTCTCTCTCTCTCTCAAGTCAAATGAACTTTGATTGCAGGCCCTTGGGAATAGTTCCTCTCGGGGATCAAGCAGAAGGATGATAACCATGAGATGTCAGTGATACAGATGTAGCTGGCTATAGTGGAGTCCTGTTTTGCCCCCCTCTTAACAAGGAGTTAAACCATGGTTCTCTTGTCCTCTCAGCTGATAACCAATATTGCACATGATACAGAAGGAGATTGATCAGTATTACTAACTTAATAGTGAGATGTACAATGAATTTGCCAGTTTGTCTTCAGGCCCAGTCTCCCTTGCTCTACTCTACCATGGACCTCAGAAAATTGACCCCTGTATGCTCTATTTCCCTGCATTTTATATACCCCTGTATTTCTCAGACTCCTTATTAGCTGTTTTTCAGCTCTTTGGTGTGAAGAGTATAGTGTCCAAAATGGCTTTTGTAGCCTTTGAATTTGACTTTGCCATGTGGATGGGTGGGAATACGCAAATAGGGAATGTTAGCTTGTCCACAGGGAATTGGCTAGTTTCACCAGTTCATGAGGGGATTAGTAAGTCTCGCCATCAAATTGAGCTGATCCAACAGCAGAATGATCCCCACTGAAAAAGAAGCAAGAGAATGTAATGTCCCCTTTAGGCCCAGAGATTCTTGCACCCATCAGACATCAGAGCAACAGCTATAGCAGCCACAGCAGACAACCAAAGATCTGACATGAGACAGAATGGACCTTGGGACTCCTATGCCATTGAACCAGAGTTAAGAGCTTTTTGACCAGGTTTGTAGGGAACTGTGGGAAGGAGAGCTAGTCCTGGCAAGACTGAGAATTTATAACATTGGCATCTATCCCTATCTATCTATCTATCTATCTATCTATCTATCTATCTATCTATCTATCTATCTATCATCTATCTATCTTGAGATGAGTGGAAAGAAGGTACCAGAGTATGGAAGATATGTCTGACTTCATGGGACTTGGTTTTGTGGTGTTGATGCTGTTGATGGGGACAGTTCCCCTTTGTGAAGTTTGTGAAGTCAGATATAGCCATCCCCATACAGCTTTTGCTCTTTATACCAGGTGGGTTCAAGCAAAGGGAGCTAGATTGAGAGCAGAAGAATGTGGGACCAAGGGAATGTGAAGAAGCAGCCAGGGTATTTCTCATCTTCTTTCAGATCATCTGCTCAGTTTGTCTTTCCAAGCCTTGGGTTGCTATTACCAATGTAGCTAGTTCACATCATTCAGTTCTCTCTGGAACGAGTACCTGAAGTGACTTCCGTGAGCCAGCATGTCTCAGCAGTGATAGGCAGAAAGAAAATTAACCAGGACATGTATATATATATTTACAATTTTTGAAATTCATCTTCAGAGCCTTGTTTTCTATATAACAAATTACTATTGATCAATACGTTTCTTGTCAAATCCCTACTATGCCTTGCCTATTCCTCACCCTGCAGCCATCACCCACTAATCTCTGCTGTCCTAGTGGTTTTGCACTTTCTTTAGCTCCCCCTGCCCTTCTTTCTCTTTTGAACAGTTAGATATATCCTATTACTACTGATAACTGAAATAGCTATACTGTTCTTTCATCAATTCTTCCCAGGTTGATCCTCCCTTGCCTGATCCTTTACTGTGTTCATTGACTGTACATTTTATTTCTGCTTTCTTGATTCCCCTCACTCCCCAGTTATTCTCATATTTTCACAGTAAAGGTCTTATACAGTATTTGTCCTTTTATGACTATTTTATTCAGCATAATGTTCTCTAGACTTATCCATATTGTGTAGTATTTTATAAATTCATTTTGCCTTAGGGCTGTATTGTATTCCATGGTGTGAATGTATCACACTCCTATCTATTTGTTTATGATGGATGTTTGGGCTGTTTTCATTTTCTTGCTACTCTTTTTTTAAATTTTTATTTTATTATTATTTTTGTGTGAGTGTACCGTCAAATCAGATCTGACTGGTACAGGAGGAGATTGTCCCTCCTTCCCCGGCAGAGCATTTGGTGGGTTCGAACCGTGCGCCTCTGGGATTGTAGTTGCAGCTCCTTGCCACTAGGCCACCAGAGCTCCCCTAACCTTCTTGCTACTCTTAATAATGCTGTGATAAACATAAGTGTACATATCTCTGTGCCTTAGCTCTGATTTCCTTAGGGTGTATTCCTAGTAGTGGAATATCTGGGTCATAAGGGATTTCCGTATTCACTTTTGTGAAAAAAATGCCAAATTGCCTTCCAAAGTGATTGTAGCTTTTTACGATCCCATCAGCAGTGCATGAAAGTTCCAATCTCTTGACATCCTCACCAATATTTATTGCTTGCTGTCCTGTTAAATTTTGCTATTGTTGCTCGAGTGAGATGGTACTGCATTTTTGTTTTGATTTGCATCTCTCTCATTGCTAGTGATTTTGAACATTTCCTCACGTGTTTATTGGCCATCTCTACAGTCTACTTGGCAAAGAGTCTTTTCATGTAGCTCCCCATTTTGTAATTGGGTGACAGTCTTTTCGTCGTTGTTTTTGTTGTTGTAATCTGTAATTGAGCTGCTTGCAATTCATAGTGACTCTATGTAAAATAGCCCTTCAATCTTCTCTATTCTGTGTCAATCTTATTGTCTCTGACACACCTATCCTCCTTACACCAATCACTGAATCAATCTAATAGATGGTCTTCCTCTTTTTCTGTCCCCCCACCCTCCCAAGAATGTTGTCCCTCTCCAAGGATTGGTGGAGCACTATAATTATCTGTGAATTTTAGTAGGAGTCCCTTGTCTGAAATGTTGTTGCCAAATATTCTGTGGATTTTCTTTTATAGTATTGGAAAAGGTTTTGAAACTCACAACTATTTGATTTTTAGAAGG